TCGGGTGGACACTGTGCTGCCTGCCCGACGAGACAGAACTCGAACCGACATGGTGGGCGGTGTCGTCTGCCATGCCAGGCAGACACTGTGCAGCCTACCTCACGCGACAAGACATAAATAGTATGGCGGGCGATAAATAGTAAGGTGGGCGATGGTCATGCCGTACCTTACGGCGTGGGCGACGACAAGACTAGGCAGCGCCTGTACACCTTTTCACTTTCCGTCTTTGACATGTAAGGCCATCCCCTTCGACTATAAAAGGGGATGCGCACTCTCCTTCAAAGAGGGGCCAAGACAGTCTCATTAGTTGGCAAGCTCAGACATCATCACACATACACACACAGAGATGCACTTACGCAGCTCTGCATCTCTAGCACTTAGCGCTCGTTTGAGTCCTCGTCGCTCTTCTCCACTCGGACCAGAGTCCGACCAGGTATTGAACACCCCCTTCTCATTCCTCACTCGTTTGTACCCCCACCGCAAACTTCGAGCACCTGATCTCAGGAATATAGTCACCGAGCAACTAAAACTGGACATATGGCATGTTGCCTGAACCAGTATAAATCATGTGTCGTTGCGTGCTAGGCCACATCCGACCTAACGCACGGCAAAACTACAAATATTTACTTGTTAGCCACATTTTGCACCGACAACGGTGTTGACACGTGTCGAGGTGCGGGGGACGAGTATGGAGTACGCTACTCGTAAGCGGGTTTGGTGGTTTCGGCCACAAAACCATCGGTGGATGGTTTTTGGGTTTGGGCCTCAAAACCCGGGCGGAGGTTCCGAGGAGGAACGGGGCGGCACGTGGTGGAATCACAGAGGTTGCGTTGAGGCGAAGCAACTCTCTAAAGGAAGCGTGTCCGTTCGATCAATAGATCTCGAGTTGGACCATAACGCCTCCGGGTTAAGTGGTTCAGCTCAAAATATCTGGGGCAAGTTGGTCATGTGTAATAGCCCTATAAATAAGGGGAGGGCTGATCCAACCAGCCCTATCTCTCCGATCAGTCATTTCTTTCATTCTTGTTATGGTTCCCGCCTCTAGGATCTTTGTAGTGATCCGCAGATGATTTAGCCAAATCATTCATCTATGTAAATCAAATCTTGTAGACCTGATCTAAGCGGGAATGGAGGCCTTAACCTCCTCTTGTCCTCGTGGCATCAAGATCTAAGTAAATTTCATTTTGATTCGGTTTTGGTGTTCTTCCTCTCCCAATATCCCCCTTCTCTTGTGTCGAGGTGCGGGGGACGCGTATGGAGTACGTTACTCGCAAGCGGGTTTGGTGGTTTCTTTGAATCCTAGCTTTTGGGGGCTTTTGAGTTGGTTCAAAACGTGCAAGGACATCTGAGAATCATTCCCACCAAGTGGTTTGGGCACATACAACTCGAGCACGAAAATTCACTCTTTTGAGGAATTTTGAGAAAACCCCACCCTTCTTGATGGATTTTGAGATTGCTTGAAATTTGTTGGGTTTTGGGTGCTGATGCTTTGAAGATATCTTCTCAACACTCCCAAGAATATCCCTGCAAAGTTTCAAGTCGATCCGAGTTGATTTGGTCGAGTTTCGGTCTTCGAATCGAATTTTCCAGAAATCTGCTCGTACATACCCGACATGTCCGGTATGAATTTTGGACATGCCAGATAGGTCAAACTTTCTTGTTTAGAGCTGAAATTTGATGAAAATCTTCCATAAGGTGTCTAGAGTCACCGGTTAAAATTTCATAATTTTTGAACACCATTTAATAGGGTTTTTTTCTTTTTCTCCCAAAGTCCGCTCTGTGCTGTGCAGCATACCGGACATGTCCGGTGTGTGCTGACTGCGCTCAGTTCAACAGCTTTTCTGAGGTCATGATTATCGGACATGTCTGGTCTAGTTCCCAGACCGGTCCGGTGTTAAGTGTTGCTGTGCTGTTTCCTCCTCGGTTTGTGCGCTTGAGCTCCGTTTTGCGATCCATCTGTTGCGTTGGTTTTCCACTAATCTAAGGAACATATCTAGGTACTCTTGTCACCGGTTGGCTTGGGTATTTTAGATTTGGGAACTTGCTTCTTATCAATAGAAGTTGAGTATGCTATTTTCAGATCCTCGATTTGGTGTGAGTGCTTCTCGGTCCGTTTGCTTTGTGGTGTCCCGCTGTGTTCCTAGGGAACATCCACCCATTCATTTGGGTCGTGGACATCACGATTCTCTCGCTTCTTGTTTGGAGGTGATTTTTGGGACAGCGGCCTAGAGTTTCAAAAGAAATTTTACGGCTCCCTTCACCCCCCTCTGGTCGCCATTTTCGGTCCTTGAGAAACATTGCATAAACAAATCCGATGGTGCACATGTATATGTGGGCCTAATCTGATTTGAACCTTAATTATGTAGTACTAATAATAACAGTAAGGCGTTGTTTAGATGCACATGTATTCATCTCAAACCTTATGTGTTGGAGAGAATTAGGGTGAAACATAAACTAAATTCCACCTCAACCCACTTCAACACACATGGATCGAGGTGGGTACATGAGCATCCAACATTTGGATGCATGTGTATCCACTCCAATCCACGTGTGTTGGAGTGGATTAGAATAGAACTTAATTTAATTTCTACTTCAATCCACCTCAGCACATGTGGATTGAGATGTATACGTATGCATCCAAACAAAACCTAACACGGTTGAAGTCGTGAAGAGGAAGACTGACTGGGCTGGAGGTACCGAAGGAGCGCATCCGGGAGTGGATACTCCGGCAGGACAGTGCCCCAGAACTCCTCGGCTACCGACGGAGCTGCTGCTGCAATGCTCTGCTGTGCAACCTGAATGCTTGCACGTGGCCAGAAATCATAACTATCCGTTAGTTTACCACATAGATGAATTAACCCCAGAGAAGGATATTAACAAAAGTGCTCTGCTGTGCTCTGCTGTGCTCACAGAATGCTCTGCTGTGCTCACAGAAGGATATTAACAAAAGTGTTGGTTATTATTACCGCCAGGAGGACAGAGGCGAGGAGGAGATAAGCGAGGAAGCGCACCACCACCATGGAACGACGCACTAGAGTGTGTAGTTCTCGTGTGTTAGAACAGGGCGACCATGGAGGCTCCTGGTACTTATAGCAGGCGCCGTGGGAGGCTATAGGCCGGAGACGAATATCATAGTCTTTGGCAGTAATATTAATGATTCACACTGCTGAGAGTGGCGCCGCGGTTAGTCTACAATAAAAGTTGTGGATATCGACCGTATGTACAACTTTACAAGTGAAAACTTTTTGATTTGAATCCGTTTAGTGTCCCAAATACGCATTTCAAAATTGGATCAAGATAATACGAGGAGAATGAATATCTCGTACGGATAAAAGTGGTTTACCGGTAAAGTGGTTTACCGGTGGAGTTGTTAGAGAGGCGGAATTTAGACGCGGAAATTTAGAGGCGGCTTAGAGACTGTCCTAGCCGTCTCTCCAAATCTTAACTGCAGTAGTAAGTGATCCGGAGCAGTGTCTTTTGCATCCATATTTATTGTTCTTTGATTTGACTTGGCGTACAAGTATTTGTCGTCCATCAGTAGGATTTCATCTACAAATGATATGTACGTGCAACTTGTTCTAACCTGTTCAATCAACTTTCCTGATATCATCTCGTTCGTGATGTGAAATATCTTTGAATTGAATCATGCAACTGTCGTCTAGTTATCCAGCATATAGCGTCACGGGAATTGGAATCTATTCTGTCTGTCTCGGATCCCTAAAGCCTGTCGACTGCTGATGCAGTCATGCCAGCTGCTCGATGGTCATATTTGCACTGCTTTGCAGCGACGTGCTGCGCTGCGTATGCATGCACCCATCGATACGTGTTTCAGGGCTGTCAGTGAATTATTAGCGGAGCCCGTCCGGTCCATTAGATCGCAGTACTCCCTCGGTAAAAAAAAAAAAAAAAAAAAAAATTAGAGAAGCATGTCAGTCAAACTAACTCGAGTTTGACCAAGTTTATAAGTAATAGTATTAGTCTTTTATGGTGGTTGGGTACTTCTTGGTTCATTTTGGTTCCTCGGCAAGTTATTAGCCCTAATCAATTTTATGCAGATATGGTTAGTATGGTAATTGCCGCCTCCCCCCTCCCCCGCCACCCGTCGCTCACGCACCCGAACCAACCCCCACGCGGCGACGACGAAGGGGTGAACGCGAGCCTGCCGTGCTCTCGCCCTAGCCCTAGCCGCCGCCCCTCGCCATCGCCCTCGCGCGGCGCCGCCACCGCCGGCCTGCCCTCGCCCGTGCTCGTCGCTGGCACCGAGCCCGTCGCTCCTCCCTCCTCCCCGTCGCCCCTGCCTGGTGCGAGCGGCCCTTGGGGACGCCGTGCCCCGCCCTAGCGCGCAGGGGACTGTGCCCCCGCCCGCACGGTCATCGTAGCTGCCGAGGAGACGTGCTTGGCCCCGCCGGTCATCCCGTGCCCTCCGTCGACAGCGCTCGCCAACGTACCCGCCGTGGACAACGCTGGCTCGGTCGCCCCGCGTACTGGTCCTTTCTGGAGCTCAGCGTCGACCCCTGTCCTCGTGGAGAACTCTCTGAACTGGATCCGATCGAGAACTCTCAAACTTTCTTAAATCAAATCGACATAACTTGGTTCTATGTGCGTCTATGTGTGCTACTAGTAGCTCTGAATTTCCCAGTCTAATTTCGCTCTGCGTTGTATTACCATTCTGTATACTGGCAACCAACTCGTACATGCGAAGCTGGTGAAAGATTAGGCATAGGACACAGTACTGTCATGTCTTGTGGTTCAGCGCATCAGCCAGTACCAACCACCCAGAACTCCTCACTCACTACTCACATACTCGAGGGAGGCAGCGCACTTAGCAGAATCCCATGAATGAAGACTGAAAAAACTGAAAAGGGCAGGGAGTGGTCGGAGGCAGAGCGTGCTCACGTGGTGACAGCGGCAGCTGGACCCTGTAGATGTTGCTGTTGATGGAGTCGAGGAGGAGGTCGCCAGCGGGGGTGATCTCGACGGTGTGCGGCTCGATCCCCAGCATGCGGCGGCGGCGGGGGCATGGCCGCGGAGCTGGTTCGGCTCTGCTGGGAGCAGGCGTTGCCAGGCTCCGCCGCCTCCTCGTCCTCCCCAACGGCCGCCTCCACACCCCCATGAGCGCGCCCTTGCTAGGAGCCGCCTGCAACTGCCGGCATCGAGGCCTCGCCATCCGCGGCCCCGCCCGGCTTTGCGTCTCGCCAGGTCTGGCACGGCCGGCGGCCTGGCTTGGCGGCGTGGGCTGCCCTCAGCCTTCCCCTCCTTTCCTCTGCTGCTTCCTCCTCCTCCTGCCCCATCCTCCTCCTGCTTCCTTCATAGCCGCCGCCGCTTTTTGGTGGGCGTGGGCGGACGCGCGCACCTTGCTGAGCCCGCTCTCAGGTGTCGCCCCCTCGGACTGCCGCGTCCGCGGATGTGCCCACCTCGCCGCCCGCACCATCCTGGCAGCGCGGACGGCCGCCACCGTGCCCGGATCTCGCCTCCTCCACCGCCCTCGCCGGATCTACGTGGTGCCGCCGTTCACCGGAGACTGGGGAGGAGGGGTCGCGTGCTGGCGTCCGCAGCCCTGCCTCGCCCTCGCCGTCGCCCTGGCAGCCGGCGCTGCCGCAGCACGGGGACTCGGAGAGAAGGAAGAAACTAAGAGAGTGGCTAGGGTTGGCATGGTCGGAATTGGAGAACTACATGTGACAGACTATACTACTTCAATCATCCCTATACTAATCAAACATTATTTTTCTATTATAAATTTACCATTCTACCCTTAATTACATAAATTTTTTTGAAAATAGAATATTCCCACTTTTTTTAGGTGTTGATCCCACCAATTTTAGTACGCACCTAGTGCGTATGGTCCCACCATTTAGTACTCACTGCATATTGGCAATTCAAGTCGTTTTGGACAGCAACACGGTCTCCAAAGTATAACTTTGACTTCTTATTTTTATAAAAATATTTATTGGAAAGTGATAAATGTGTATTTTTATGAAAGTACTTTTCAAGACAAATCTATTCGTATGGTTTTCACATTTCCAAACTCAACAACTTAAAAGTTCTTCATGATTTATATTCCCAATGCTTGACCCAAGCCTTGTACAAAACGACTTGAATTACCAATATGGAGGGAGTACGCACTTGGTTCCTCTGGGTGCCTCTCCAATTGGTTCCTCTTGAATTCCCAATGTTATTAAGTGTGTGACCCCAGGATGTACTTGGCGTGTTCATGGTCATATGCCACGTACCGAGACCAACTTCATCGCCACTATTGTTCAACCACATAGTTGCTTGTTGCACACAACGCTGATCAAGCATAAGAACATGACGGCGGAATTCGTGTCAAATGTAATGTATGGCGAGATAGTTGAAAAAGTTGGCATGTCTCCATTTCGGATAATGCTTGCTATTCAGAATAGATATGGCTATGAGATGTCTTATGACATGGCTTGGAGAGCAAAACAGCTGGCCTTGGAGAAGAGGTTCGGTAATTACAAGGACTCATATCACAACCTGCCAACTCTTCTAGCAACCATTCAAGTGAGAGACCCTAGGACTGTAATTCATATTGATGACTACATCAACGAGAAGGGAGACTGTTTCCTGAAATGAGCTTTTTGGTCTCTAGGGTGCATGATACAAGCCTTCAAGCATTGCCGACCTCTGCTCTGTATGGATGGCACTTTCATGACTGGACAGTACAGAGGTACGTTGCTAATAGCCATAGGGGTTGATGGCAACAACCAGGTTGTGTCTATTGCTTTCGCCCTGGTTGAATCAGAGAACAGCAAAAGCTGGTTGAGGTTCCTGAAGTTGATTAAACGAGCTCTCGTGGAAGAAAGGGAGAATGCTTGTGTCCTGCATGATCGTAATGCATGTTTATTAAATGTAGTGGATAAATTGAAGAACGGTAGGGATCCAGAGGTCCAATGGCCCGATATATAAAGTCGCTGGTGCATGAGGCATCTAGGTAGTAATTACTACAAGCAGTTCTGGAGCAAGCGCCTGATGGACTTGTTCAAGAGTCTATGCAAGCAGAACCAGAAAAAAAATCGATTTCCTTTGGCAAAGGTTAGACGAGCTGACCACAAGCCACATGAATGAAGTGCGTCGTCAACCTGTTGTGGCACGAGAGGAGGAGCCGCTAGGCCTTACTTCCAATCGTAATGAGGCTAAAAGCAAGACTCGCCGACGTAAGGGGGGCATGTCTTTAAAGTGTTTCTCAGATTGGATTAAAGAGGAGCCCGTCGAGAAGTGGTCGTTGTTGCATGATACCTATGGTGCACGCTACGGCATAATGACAACAAATCTAGCAGAGGTTTACAACGGGGTGCTCAAAGGTACACGGTCGCTTCCTTCGGTTGCAATTGTGGAGGGTATCCTGAGGGGCACAATGTTGTATCTGCGAGAGCGTTGTCAAGCGGCAGCGGTAGTCGTTCAAAATCCACAAATGACATATTCATGGAAGATTTCTGCATACATCGAGGAGAAGAATGCCAAAGGGTCCCTGCATAGGGTGTTTCCTGTTGGCAACCAGGATCTTGTGTACGAAGTCATGCTGCGTGATAAGGGGGGACTTGGCACTGCTCCAAGCGAAATAACTATGGAGTGTCAGTTATGGCCAGAGGTTAACAAGTACGAGTGCACATGCAACAAGCCAAAGTACTACCATTATGCATGCTCCCATGTGCTTGGTGCATGTGGAAAAGCCATGATTCCGATGACTTTGGTGTCCGATTATTTCAAAAAGGAAGCCGTATTTAACACATGGTGTGGTGAGCTTCGAGGTTGGAGGGCCGTTGTTGATTTCACTAAGGCAGTTCATGACTCGGACCATTATTGGCCTCCGAATCCAGAACAAAGGGTCGACACAAAGGGACGTCGCAAGAGTCATCATATTAGGAATGACATGGATGCTTCGGAGGCTTCAGACAAGCATCCCTTTTGCCTTGCTTGTGGTGGAAATCATCTGAGGAAAAATTGTGATGCGTACCCCACAAATAGGCTACTAGATGGAACGGAAGTGCGGCGTATTCCAAAGCGCAACTCTAGGCAGGCCACTCAACAAGGTCCTAGCGCGTAGCATTGTATGTACTGGGTTCCACGATATGTGTATTTTGTACCTTGTATGTTCGTGCCTTGCGTGTTCAAATTCCGTAATTAATATTCTTTCTTTATAACAGGCTACGTGCTGCTGGTTTACTTCCGTTCGCATGCCTGGTTGAGTGACACCAACACAGGAGTTCGCATTTTCCGGTTGACCGTGCACTCCTCTCTGCTCGGGTTGACCATTTGGAGACCGGAGACGACACGTTCCACCTACACTGTAGGTGAGGTCACCAAATCACTCAGTAGGGGCGTCGCTTTCTTTGTTGGTCTACCTCTCGCCTTGATGCCCTTGTCGGCCCTCTAGTGATGCCGGTGGATTGGGAGGAGAAGGTCCTGCACTGTTTTCAGGGCATGTTGCAGCCAGGGGACGGAGAGGATGAGCAGTTCGGCTTCCACGACCGCCACGGCCCTCCGAAGGCGTGGTTGTCTTAGTTCCATGCGGAGAGGCTCACGGAGGACGAGGATGACTGGAGGGTCCAGTGACACTTGGAGGCGTACCTACTGTGGCTGTTCAGCTGGGTACTCTTCACCAGTTCTCACCACGACAACGTCGACAAGCACTTCATCCACTACATGGTGCAGATAGTGTACTCACCACTTGAGGCGATTCCCCAGTACAGTTGGGGTTCAGTGGTGCTTGCAGCTACATACCGGGCTTTGTGCGACGCTTGCACTCGGAGGAGTAGGACATTTATGTTGGCTAGTTGTTCGTTGTTGGTGATGTTGTGGTCATTCGAGCGGTTCGATATCGGGAGGCCGACCATTGCCTTGTAAGAGCCGTACGAGGATACGATGTACGCTTTCGGCGAGGTTGGTGTGGCCGAAGAGCTTGATGCCCCGACGATGGGCACACTCTGGGTGTCTTGCGACGTAAGTATTTTGTCTATACTATTTGCTCACTTATGTTACTATTATGCTTTCAATGTTCAACAAGTTTGTTCTTTGCAACTGAGGTAGGCAACAGGCAAGGGTAGAGGCACGTACAATGTGTATGCCAATGTGTTGGACCAGCGCACAGCTAACAGGGTTCAATGGACCCGTACATAGGAATGAACATACACTCCCGTGTTTCGCTTGGCTTGTTGGAGATGTGCTACCGTGACCAGGAGCTATGGTGGACGAGGAAACGGCTAGTGTTGAACATCTTCGTCGAGCCGTACTGTCCAGAGCAGGTGGCACGTCAGTTTGGGTGCATGCAGGTCTTCCCCCTTCCCCGACTTCAGCTTGACAGGTCGCACAGGTAAGTCTCGTTGTATTCACATTTCTTCTTGATGCTGGTACAACTTTATTCACTATTAATTGTATTGTAGGATTTCAAGAAAAGGTCAAGGTATAGAGTTCGAGCAGTCGTGGGTTGATAGGGTGATGCCTTGGGTCAACGCCTGGGAAGAGAAGGCTGCCGACGTGCACGACCTAGGTGGGCCGTTCGATGAGGGCACCTACTGCGAGTACTTGCATTGGTTTCACGGAGCCACATGTGTTTGTTGCTTCCCCGTGCCGGTACTGGCCGCGCCACACAAGCCCGTGATCACCGACACGTTCGTGATAGAGCCACTAGCTGCTTTCCATGCACTAGTAAGTAAATTTGTAAACTACTTAGTCCTATCGTTACTTTGGCAATGAGTCACAACAATTCATGCAACAATACATGCCTGCCTTGCAGACAGATATCTGCAGCAACATGGGCAACAAGCTGCTTTCATATGCGCAACGGTTCGAGCTGAACCCCCCAACAGTTGGTAGGATGGAGTTGGTTGCCGCCCTTTGACGACTGGGGCAACGTTGCTTGGCGGGAGTATGCCGAGCATCGTGCCGCCACACCACGGACGTAGTTCATGGGCAGTAGGGTGTGCCTCTAGCTCCAGCTCCACCTCTGCCTCTAGTCGTAGGATCTAGAGGACGTGCTTGTTCTTCGCACCAGACGGTTGGAGTCCTAGGTAGTTCTGCGATGACCTTCCGATTTCTTCTTGCATTATGTACATAACATGGTCTATGTGAGCTTACAATTTTTTTGGTAGGTGGACGTGCTTCTTGCAGTCACTACACGACGGGTACTAGCAGCTTCAGGACCTTTTACACCGATGACACTCCTCCTTGGGGCCCCGATGAGGCTAGGCCCTCATAGCTTTCTGGTGCACCACTGCTGACTCAGCCGACTCAGCCGACTGAGGGCACGCAACCTACAGAGTCGACCCCGGTGGCACGCTTGTGTCGTCCTCTAGACCCCCTCACTTACCCTACGGCACAGGTTCGTCACCGAGGACCACATGCCGTCAAGCGTGGGCATCGTGCTGGTTGACCTGTACTAGTGGTATGGTTGTATGCTTGCATGGATGTGAACTAATGTACTCCTATATTTCTGATGCCTCCAACCGTATTAGTTGATTTACCACCATTTAATGGAGGCAATGCTCCAATAACTTTCGACGCTTGTCAGGGTAGCGCAGCCTTTGCAGTGGGTTGTCACTTCATCATTATTTAGGCTTTGCAGCGAGTACTCACATCAACACAACAACAACCGTACTAAATCCATAGTCGCCACCTCCAAACTCTGCCGATGTCTGCCTGTGTAGGCTTTCAGTGAGTTTTCATGTCATCATCGTCTAGCTTTGTAGGCTTCTCAGGCTATGGTCAGGTCACTTAATGGCACTACAAATGTAAAATGTAGCCTTTTCAGAGAGTATTCACATCAACACTGCATGCTACGTACTACACAGCCTTTGCAGTGAGTTGTCACTTCATCATTATTTAGCCTTTTCAGTGTGTATTCACATCAATACTGCATGCTATGTACACTGCATGCTACACAACCTTTTAAGTGAGTTGTAACATTGAGCTACATAGCCCACGTCTCTGGCACTTGCTATATATCGATGGGTCCAAGTTGTTCATGCCCACCGAGCGCAAAACTAAACTTACAACCACTTAACCGAGAGAGTCCATACCAATGTCAGGTGCGTCAGGGAAGGGATAGGGAAAGGGAACTAATCTCATGTTTTGGCCAAGATCTTATGGTCCAGATTGGTACCCAGATCCACTAGAAAACTTCCCATTGCAGGGTAAGAAGGATTTTCATCCACCTAGTAGGTTGCGGCCATATGATAACAGGAAACAAGAGTGGCCAAAATGCTGCCATGGTGACAACTGCGTAGTTCAAGTATACAGCGACGGTGGGCTTCATGAAGGGCGTCGGTTCTTTAGATGCCCTCGCGGATGAGTAAGTCTTACTACGAATTTTATTGTACTACTCATCTTCATTACATACTAACAAGACTATGTATTCTATAGAACTCCGAAGATGAGGAAAACTATAGTTTCACTAGGTGGGTTGATCCACCAGCCATTTACCCGTATGAAGAATTCATCCACTACCTACAGAACCGCATATTTGACCTCGAAATAGAGGTTGAAAGCACGTCTGTAACCAAAGAACAAAACACTCAAGAAGAAGAAGGACAAGATGTTCTGATCGAAGACAAGCCAAAGGTGTGCAATGATCCATATTGCTAGTGCCCTTGCCATGGAAACATGGGGCCTCCTCCACCTCCTCCGCCTCCTCCTCCATGTGGTGGAAATTGGTACTATGGACAAGGCTCTTCACAGTGGTACTCACAGTAATCGGTGTTCTCTGGATGCAAGAGTGATTAGGACCTAAGTTGTGTTGGCTAAAGTTTCAGTAGAACTCTGTTGCATGCTTTCAATCCATAGTCTGTATTTTGTGTGTTTGTAATTCCTACAGTCTACCTTGTTGTTTCAATCCATAGTCCTGTAGTTTTTAATTCCGCAATGTACCTTGTTGTTTCAATCCAATAATCTGAGAAGACTACGTTGTATCACATATTTCGTGGAATGTAACATGTTATGCAAAAGGACATAAAAGGCTATGCACTGTGAATTTATTAGAACTAATATGCTTGGCACGCCATACATTCCTATGCACTCTCTCCTCCTCTCTCTCTCTCTCTCTCTCTCTCTCTCTCTCTCTCTCTCTCTCTCTGCATGCGTGCCTGCACGATCCTCTCTTTTTTCCGCACCCGACCAAAGCATGCAAGCCGGCACGCTCTCCTCTTTTTCCTGCACCCGACCAAAGCATGCAAGCCGGCACTTTCTCAACATGGACCAACATGGACTAAGTCCACTGAACCATACAAACCGGATGTATAAAAGGTCTCGTATGTGTTCACCACACCACATCTCCTCTGCCTCCCCTCCCCATTCAACTTCGAAACAATGGCGTCCCGGAGGACCGACCCAACTCAGCTCCCGCAGTGGCGTGAGCGGCCAAAGTGCCATTGCGGGTTTCGCACGATCTTGCGTGAGTGCATGGATCAGGACCGTAACTACGGCCGCAGGTACTTCGCGTGCCCAGATCTAGATGACGACTTCATGGTAAGAACGCGAACTAAATCTTTTGTTTCTGGTTACCTTTTCTCAAATTGATCAATGACATCTACCACCATACACGTAGCCTTGCAAGTGGATAGAATGGGTGGATCAGGAGTTGCCCGCATGGCCAGGAAGGGTCCCAAGGGAGGTGGAAACCAAAGGCCAAACCTTCTGAAGATGACTCAGGCTCGCGAGGCGGAATGACAGACGAGGGAGCAAATTCGTCTGAAGGCTAAGGAGGATGAGCTTGCTAGAAGGAGAGAGCAGTTAAATCTGCATGAAGCAGCCATCAAGCGTAAGGAGCAAGAGCTTAAATTCTGTGAGGCAGCTCTCAAGAACAAGAATGATGCAGCGGAACCATCTTCAGGGCGCGACATAGAGGGAAAACAACCACGCTGCACCTAGTAGAACAATGTAATAGACCCAGCAAGTTAAATTCCCTAAGGCATGTTAGGAGTAGTGGTGGACAGGCCTGTCGGCCCCAGGAGCGCTAACAGGGCCTATCGGCTAACCAGAGGCCGACAGCCGGCGTCGGCTGCCACGTTAGCCTTATCGGCCCTGTCGGCCTTCGAGAGACCGACAGTGGTCCTGTCGGCCTTCCTGCCGCCAACAGGATGCTAAACCTGCAATAAATCTATAACACCTTCTAGATTTGCAATTATTATTTTAAAAAATATTATTTAAAAAAAATCCATGGTAAAGCACAGCTCCAAACACTTGTGAAACCACGTCTTGTGGCTGTGTGCAACTGCCTCACTCCTTCTGTCTATAAATACAGCACACCCCCTCCTCAGTCTTCAGACACAAGTAAAGAGCAAAACATAGCTAACCGATCCAAACAGCACGCCCTCTCTCTCTCTCTCTCCCCCCCCCCTACAGGGAACCACGCTCGCTAGCCATGGCCTATTCCGCAACTGCTCCGTGTGCGGCAGCTCAATATTCTGAGCTTAAGATGACCCTATACACAAACAAGGAGGTGTATTATTCTGGACCAGACAATAACGGAGTAACCATCATAGATGGATCAAAAATGGGCACAACCTGGGTCTTCTCGTGGCCTGTAGCCGATGGGGCAACTCCTGATGCAAACATCGTCGGCCATCTCCAGGGCACTGGTGTTCAAGTAGCCAATACTCCCAATCTGGTGTATCACTACTCCCTGGGATTAGTGTTCGAGGATAAAAGGTGAGAAACTGGGAAATGTATTATTGAGTAGTACGTACGTACACACAACTTTGTATTGTACGTGTACTTCCACAACCTCTCTCAAGTAGAACATCATGTAGTTATTTTTTCATAGATGATACACATGCTCATAGGACCACCAGTTTATTCATTTGTTCAATTCTCATTTTTCAAGAAAATATCTTACTCCTGGCAGTTTTCACTTTCTGTCAATTATTTCCTACTCCCAGTGAGTAGTTACTCCCATGTGTATATCTTTAGATTTATGGTGTATATAACCCGACGAAGTGTATGTTGACGAAGTATATGATCATACTAGACCATCTAGGATAGTATGTGTATATTGAAGTATGCAAGTATACATTGAGTATATGGTTATACTTATTTTATATACTACTATAATAGTATTAAAATAATATGTTATATATTGATGAGAAAAGTTTAGACTGGTCAACTGCAAGTAACACAGGTAATTATTTTTCTCACCGCATGATATATATTGTCAAGAAAAGTTACTGCAATAACACATCACGTAATCATTTTGTGCGCAACACAGGTTCAATGGGTCCACACTCCAAATACAAGGGACTTCCCAAATCAATGGGGAGTGGAGCATTGTTGGAGGGACAGGATTACTTACTATGGCAATGGGTACTGTCAAACGCACATCAGTTGTAGACAAAGACAATACCAGGATCTCAGAACTCAAAATACATGCCTATTTGGCTTCAGTGAAGCCTACTACAACTAGTGTAAGTAAAATACACTGGATTATTCATACGAGCAACTCAAATTCTAATGACTCGAAATGATAATTTAGAGAGTGAGATTAAGAGTAACTTTTGGAGATGCTCTTATATATGCATACATTTATTCCATTGATTTTACAGTTGAAACTCCAGATATATAGGGCATATTCCCTTGATTTATTGTGTAAGTACAATATATTGTGACATATTAAGATATAGGCATGTGTATTTACTATTGAAACTTTAGATTTCCTAACTTCTACATATTCCCTTGATTAATCATGTCTATAATATAACCTTGTGTAGGTTTTTGAGACTACTGAATCCGATTAATAACCTCCAGAAGGCGTGAGCTTTATGCAGTTGTTTAGACTGGTCTTCGTGCATGCCAGACAATAAATGCCAATATCTGCAGTTCGTCAGTGTTGTTTGTTTCCTAATAAATAACCTGGACTCTGTATCCGGTCAGTGTCACCTTGTATTTTGCTGTAAGGGACTGTATCTGTATCGTCCGGTGTTGTAGTCACCTTGTTCTCTTTTGTATTTCAATGAAATTCTGCATCCGTATCAGCATGTGTATTCATAAAATCATAAATCATAAGATGTATTTTAAGGCCCTGCTTCTGAAAAAATCCCATTGGCCCATTAAAATCTAACTCATTAGCACAGTGCATCTTTCTCCCCACTCAACCGCCGCCCAAAACACCCTTCTGTCTCTCGCGCTGCTTGTCCCTCTCACATGCCGGTGTTTGGGCTGCATCTTGTGGGGGCGTACTGGACCTAGTGGCAGCATCAGTAGGTGGATCCTGCGGCTGGAAATGCTCGTGCATCAGTAGGTCCATGACTGACTGCCATCTGTGATCTTTTGTTCTTTCTAAGATGTGATTTGTTGTTGCCTAGTTCTTGTATGGTGTATGAGCAGGTGTGTATCAAGGCAGGTAATCATCATGACGAACTCCGCAACTACGGTGGTGGTGGAAGTGGGGCAGCATTAGGCCCTAGTGTGCCCTTGGTTACTTTCATCGGTGGAGATAACCTGTTATCACTGCTGGCGAAAGTGAAATCTGCAGTAGTGTGTGAATTTTACTCACAGATATTATCACAAACTGACATCCTACGAAAACTCTGTTTGTGCCTGACTTAGAAAATGGTATTTCCTAGTAGTCAGATCAGACAAAATCAAGAAAACACACCCAAAGTTTAAACTTATTACGAGGTTCTGAACTAGAGATTGAGATGGCATACAAACGACCTTTCATTAGTCAAAAAAATTGCATTGCACTCATTTCAAGCAATTTGCACAACTCAAGAATCCCATCTTTGAGATAATCCAGCACTATAATTAAGCAAAGAGCAGCAGCCAGTGTGTCCCTTTCAAAAGAATGTACACTAATGTTTTTAAGTGATAGAAAGGTTTCAGTTTCAATACCCTTCGTTAGAGAGTCATCAGGCCGGAGTTATTGGAAGTTTGGAACCACACTATAAGTTCACATAAACCATGTTTAACACTAAACACCAATACGAAAAACAAAATGCATCCTTGGAAGCAAAGAACTCCATTAATCTTGTCTCTAGAAGCTGCCACGATTTTAATAGATTCCTCATATTTTTTAACTCAGCGCAACAAAAAGCTCACAACTGGAGCTAATGTGTCTCTAAATAATACCTGCAAGAAAGTTTTGGGTTAGCATTTCTCGAACACTGAGTCATGTCTTGTGTGTCAAATGACCCCACGTATGGACGAAGGCCCTGTCAATAACAACAGATGATCCAAATCCAAAGAAGCAATTGAACAAGCAATTAACATACAAAGGAACCAAGCAAGGCATCAAATAAAAGTCAAGAACAAATCAGCGATGGGCTTCACCTACGAGAGTAGTACGTATTGATCGGTGATATCTATTGTTTGGTTCCTCTGACTTGGAAACTCCAACAAGCGCACTATTAAAAAACAGCACCAATCATCAAACACTGTAAAAACTGCAAGAATCCAGTGTTTTGGGTGCGGTAAACTGGTGTCCGTGAATTTTTTACTAGCCCAAACAGAGACCGGAACTGAAATTTGTATATCTCATCAAAATAAAAAATAAAAAAGCAAAAATTGATGAGGTTGGTGTCAGGGTTCGCCCACGAGGCCCAAGTTGGCGCCTATGGTCTGTGGGCAGGCGCAGCCCATGTTAAGGCTGGACAGATTAGGCCCACTGCCTCTTTACAGCACCTGACTACCTGAGTGTTTTCTCTGTTGGCTTCTAAAAAAAAAAGAGTGTTTTGTCTGTTTCCTGTAAGTGTATGAAGCTGTACAAGCAAAGCTGATGTCCCCTTGTAGATTTTATAGCCAATAATATATGTAGCTATATACAAAAAATAGAATAGCAGCGACTTTCCTTCCAGTTTTTGTATTTAAAACCCTGTGCTGATATCCTCCAAGACCGCCACCGGCACACTAAAAAAGCCTCTACCTAACACAGGGGTAATATTTTGGCACCTAGTTAATCAGGGTTCTCAAGTATAGATATATATTCCCTGCAAATTTGTTCATGTTGGATGATAAGACTCATTGAGAAACAATATAGCCAAATTCAATGCTTACGGCTAGTAGTTAGCAGGAGAATATCCAAATAGGTCGACTAAATTTGTAGCTAAAAGTTAGCAGGCATTTAGCGAACTACTACCTCCGCTCTGTTCTTTTTTACATGGTGTATAAGGTTTGTCTAACTCAAACAATTTCATTTTCTACCATCAATTTTAAGAAATCCATATAGTTTCACGACTGAAAGTATTTGTCATAGTGAATGTGAAAACATAAATCTCATGTTGTTTCACATGTATACACTTTTTTTGAAATTGTTGGTCACAGTTAGAAATATTTGACTTAGGATAAAGCTAATAAGACATGAAAAAAAATGGAGGGGGTAGCTATTAGCTCCTTAACTGAGGAAGACCAGGTAAAAGCGGCTAATGAACTGTCATATATTACTATATGCTGTATACGACAACGAAAAAGGAGCAGCTGGTGGAACGACTGCACCTTCCTGCATGAAGAGAGGTCGGTTGGACATTTATTTTGAGCCATTAGGGCGTCCTCAACGGGGTAGCGAAATCGCTAACTGACATCATGTTTTGGACGACGTGGAGGTATAAAAACACCGCGCTAGCGACCTGGGAGTCGATAGTCTCGCACAGCCTCCGAGGAGAGCCTGAGATGGTCAGGATACCATATTTTTATGATTTTGTTTATTCATTTGCTTCCACGTCAGGTAGCGATTTCGATAGCATTGCTGTGGACAGCCTTACGTACGTGCCTATGCCTTGGGAGGATGACATAATATTAATATATTATATATATACACAATAAGACAACCAAGCAACTTAAGGGTGACGTGAGCAGTATATTCAATTCAATTCCTCACATTTTTCTAGTCTCAATACTAATCCAGATCATCGAGCTTGTTGGTTCCGTCCCAGAGCCTATCTTCAATTCGGATAAGCACGGATGGTAACGAGAGAAGAAAAAAACATTGTGTTGGGATCCGCTCATATATATATGATACTTCAATTTGCAGTTCCGTTGAGATAGCCTCGCAGTGGTTCAACAAGAACATTATTCAGACGACTATGATAGCAAAGACGGTGTTGTCGACTAACCATGCCTGCTGACGTGGACTTCAACCTACACTTGCTAACGTTATAAAAAAAAAACTACACTTGCTGTTTTATGGCTTTGACGTGCATACGCGTTCAATATATATAGCAGCAACTTTGAGTCCAGTTGGCCTTTTTCTTGATAGAAGCCTTTTGGTGGGCTACCTAATGATCTGAGTGATGTGTGTACATATATTCCCTACAATAAAGTCTAGCTGGTTCATGATGGACGTCTGAACGCGGAATGTGTCGGCCTAAGTAGAGTGTGAATTAATGGGCACATAAAAATATTACAGCCTACTTTGTGTATAAATAAAAATCTAAAGGCACGATGGCTTGCGTTTGGAGTGGCCTAGCATCACATCATCCCTGCCTATTATATGGACTACAACAGTATCTAGCTAAAGCCTACACTACTGCACATTCTTTAATATTGCAAGCCCTATTAGCATCGCTACGGGTCCTTTAGAGCAGCTCCGGGCTGCTTGCAAAATGAACCGAGGGGAGACAGAAAACAGCGAAAGTTCGATGCACACGCTGCAGCAACCGAACCGTAGGAAAAGATTTCTCTGTTCGACACGAGTTTTCGGTTCGGCACGAGAGAGAATAGAACATTGATTTTGCGCATGCATAAGAGTGAGCCATTGCCTAATATGGCCTCTGCTTTATTTATTATTTGATGTGGACCCCATTGAGAGAAAAGTCAAGCAAACATTGCAGCACGCTCTGTTTATTCCCAAATGAATGGAATCTTTGTACGCGTGGCTTGACAGCTGTAGTTGAGTTCGACGCGACACTGGAGCTGCTCTTAGAACTAGCAGTGGTAGGGTATCACTGTTAAACTGTCTCCAACGGTAAGAACGCAAACACGAGACCTATTCCAGGATTTAAGTCACGTACAGGAAAAAGGGTCACGCACACAAAACCTTCCTTCTCCAACAGCGAACCTAAAAGAAGACTGCCAGTTTCCTCCGTCCGGTGCCGCTTGCTCCTCCGCCTTCCTCTTCCCCGCAGCCGGCCACCTAGCCGAGCTCCAGCTCTGAAAATATCATTGCCCCCTCCCACACCTCTCTCTCTCTCCTCTTGACTCCCTCTCTCTCCATCTCGTCACGCGGCAGCACCGGGCAGCTCCTCCGAGACGGCGGCGCAACGGACGGCCACCGGCGCTCGTCGCGGGCGCACCCAGCCCCCCTCCCCCCTGCGCCATGGGCGGCTCCCCTGTGGGCTCGGTTGGGGCGGCGGTCAGCCCCCATGGCTCCGGTGCCTCAGGTGCTGTCCCCTGTGCTCCATTCGCTTCTTTGTGTCTCCCAGGTGAAGCAAGAACATCTCTCTCTATTGGACCCATTGCAGTCTCCTCTATTTCCCTCTTCTGATCTGCACTAGGGTTCATGGATTCATTCCATTTGTACAAGAAAAGCCAGGTGCTTTCCCATAATTTGTATCGCCATCTTTCCATTATTACGCACCGATGCATAGATCTCGTTTCCTTGCAACGGGAACACAGATTGGTACATCTATGAATGGAGTGCGCCTGATTCCTGATTGATTCATTCGGCGCAAAGGGAGGAATCTTTTGGCTTGTTTTGATTTTGTTCTTGATGCTGTTGCTTGGATATGCTGTCAGTTTAAAGGAGCTGCCGAGGTGGTGGTGCGGCCTGGCGAGCCCGGAGGTGGGCGACGGGAGCGAGGGCGCGACGGATGCCAGCGTGGATGCCGGTATGGTGCCCGTGCCGGTGGCGGCGACGATGGCTGGCTCGGCCTGCTGCAGCAGCCACTGCACGGTCTCGCCGTCGGACTTGTTGGAGCTCCGCCTGCTGCCTCCGCTCCCCGGGCTGCGCCACCACCTGCACCTGCTGCTGTTGCTCCTTCCCTCCGCCGCCCCCGTCCTGCTGCGGCGGCGGGTGAATTTGGATTTGCAGGTTGTGCTGCGCTGGCTGCTGCTGCTGCTGGGAGGGGGCGCCCCTCGAGCCGCCTCTGTCCCCACCGCGAGCGGCACCTTCGAGATCCAGCTCCAGAGATTTGTGTCGTCTCTCTCTCGAGACGCTTATTTGCGTTTCGGTTCGGCTTGAACGCAAAATGCGTCCTCTGTTTGGGTCATCTGTCGTTCACAGTGTTTTTGAACGACCTATTTTGCGTTTGGGTTGTGTTGTTGGAGACAGTCTTAGTTCATAATGAAAGAGCTATGTCTAACGGTTTTAACAATGCACTGGCGAGGACAATAGATATTATAAGTAGGTCTAACTTTGAACCAGTAGTGATAACTCTACTGTCAGGTTCATATACCCCTCATTAGCGCAACAAGGTTAGGACCCTGTTTTTTTGGTATCAAATACATTTAACTCAGACTCATGTCTGTGTCCTACACTATCTCTCTCCCCTCATCCCCTCCCTTCATTTCTCTCTCTCCCTCTCCACTATGCTTAGCAACACAAAACAACCAGCCCATTGGCATAATGCTCTGACACGACGAGGGTGGGTAGTAGTGCAAGGCGAGCCTCATGG